TTTTGAGACGAAGGGGTAATCTTCCATATCTGATCACCCTCATCACTCATAAAGCTCTAATTTTGCTTCCTGGTAACTTCCAGAACAAGCCTGCTCCCTTTTCAAGACAAATGATAATCACTATGGTCATTTTGTGGAAGCACGGGACATGGAAGAACCCTGGATGAGAGGTCCAGGTAGTCTTGGGCTTTCATACCTTGCTCCACTTCTGTGTGTTAATCTGGTCAAATCACTTAACATCTCTAAAACCTAACTTTCATGTATGCAAAATGAGGATGCTAAATCCTGCCTCACAGTTCTGCTATGAGAATTAAATTAGTAACTCTCTGTAAAGTGTTTTGAACACTGCCATATTTATAACAGATATGTACAATAATACTAAGCTCACTTTTTTGTCTAGGTTCCTTCAACTCCTCTTACAGAATGATTCTCCTCCACCCTTTCCTTAATAGGTCATTAGGTATCAACAATGTTTCTCCAATATCTTGACTGCAATTCCTTTATTTTGGATAACTTCCAATATATGTTTCCCCTTCTTAAAGCACAACTACCAGAACAAAACAGAACAGAGAACTCTAGGTGTAGTGCTATCTGTTTGCACTAGAATAGAACCATCTCATCCACATAATCTAAACAGCTTTTTCCTTTAAAAGTTATCTCTTCTACTGACTTCCCATAGGGCCAGAATATTGGGTGACTATATCCTGACACACACTGGGAGACTCAAGGGATGAACAAACCAGTATCTCAATTCATATGTACTTTTAAAGTTAACCAGTAACCATCCATCAATAATGCTACCTGCATGGCAATTTGGATGAAGGCCAAATCTGTGTGATCAGAGCTGCTTTGTTATAAAATTCATACTGGACCATTCACAAGGTATTCAGTGCTATGGGAAATCACTGTAATTATACCATGAGGCAACTCCATTAAACAGCACTGATCAAGTCAAAGATGGAAGAAGCCAGAGCCCCTTATCAGGGCTCCACGGGGGTCTCAAGGAGTTATTAATCTGATGAAAGGGAGATAACACAGAGACACTGATGCAGCTCTCAAGCTTCTGTTAAGGGATCACCTCAAGTTCTTGTTAAAAATATTAATACTAGGGCTCTACTCCTAGAGAATGTGATTCTAGTTCTAGGGATCATCAGCCCAGATAAGCCAAATGCAGATCACCTATAGGCCACAGCTGGAAAAAAACAAATATCAAATTCAGTGAGCTTGGACACAAATCTAGTCCATCTCTCCACTATGTGCTTAGCAGGGCAAAAAGCCACCAGTGGCCTTGAGAAGGCCCAGATAAAGGAAGGGATGATATTTGCCAAGGGCTTGGATGGGGACTATCAGTATTTATTGCTCTTGCCAGCTGGGCTTTAGACAAGTACTATATTATGCTGACCTTTGCCTATAATGGGGAGTAAGCATCAAGTACAACTATGTTGTAACACAAGTGCAGAATTCATTTTCTTCCTGAAGACCAAACCCATTACTCAGCCACCTCCAATACTCCAACACCATGGACAGCCCAATGCACAAGTCTGGCTGAGAGCTCTCTCTACTAAGGCCAGCCTAAGGTTCATGGAGGAAGGTGAGAAAGGTGAGAGCTGCCTTGGCCATGGTCCTAGGGTGGCCATGGAGCCATTTGACAAGGGCTGCTCTCACCCTGATGGGTCTCCTTATGATGGTGTTGTCGTTTATAACTCAGCCAATGGCCTTGGGTGGAAGCCTACATTTTGATCTGGCTATATAAATATATGCAAAGAAAATCACTGAATTGTACACATGAAATCTGCATTCCTGACTGTATGCTATACCCCAATACATTTATAAATATTAATGCCAAGTGATGATAAGGGTTCAAGAAATAGGCACCATCATCATCACCTCCTCTCTTGCCTCCCTGTTTAACACTCTCATATCTCCAGAAATCAGAGCTAGAAACCCTGCTAAAACCCTTTTTTTTTTTGTCAGATCATGTTTCACCTCCAAAGGAAGTTGAATTCTACTCCTTTGCAAGCCCTGATTTATCTGCCAAAACAGGGGATAATGAAGATCACTGTGGAGAGCTGTTGGGGAAGTGGAATGAGCAAATGCACATAGATTATCCACCCACATGAGGCACTGGAATCGTGCTGTGGAAGGCCTGTTGTCTAGAACTATTAGATAGCTGCCCACTTGACCTGGAGTATTTGCTGCTCTCTGCATTCCTGCTGATCCCCAGAAAATTGAGGATCTTCAAGTGTTAATGTCTTCCATTGGGAGTCATGTCCATGGGCCAGGGGTTGGGAGGGGCATATAGTGGACTTCCTGTTCCATTTTCCTAACTGAGAATAGGTCTCATCTATATAATTTATTATACCTTCTTGTCCTACCATGGTACAGCATCTGATATCTCTTCTTTCAAGATCATTTTAGGAATCAGATTAATAACAGCTGTTATTTACTGAGCAATCACAATGTTTCAGATAATCTATTGGCATTTTATACATATTATGACATTCAATCTTTTCAAAATAAGCACCATTTTACAGATGAGAAAAAGAAACTCAGGGAGCTTAACTGATTTTTCTGTTTCACAGCAGCTAAGCAGTAGAACTGAGATTTGAACCCAAACATATGTCATTTCAAAGATACACTCCTTATCAAGATATTATAGCATGTAGAGGAAGAGGGTTCCATTATGCCTTAAGACTGAGGCACTGGGCTTTGTCTTCCTAATGCTGCCCCCCATCATGTTTGCTAAATTGTGTCTGAAATACTTGTACATGCTATGGTTATTTCCAACTTTCTTGGACTTCCATGCATTCTCTGCCTTAGTTTTCCTTCACTCAGCCTCCCATTTCTGCTTAGAGATCTAATAAAAGAATCCCACAGAACCATCCATAATTCTGCTTTAATTTAGGCCCCATTCATTTATTCAACACATATTTATTGAACATCCATCATGGACCAGGCAATGTGCTTGTCATTAGAGATACTCTTGCTCTCACAGGGATTCCAGTCTAGAGGCAGAAACAGATAAGTCTACATGTAGTTATAAAGTTTTAAGTCTATGACAGGTCAGAATAAGAATTATCAAGAAAGGGCAGTTTTTAATTCATCACGTCATTGTTCATCCTTCCAAACTATCACAAGAGTTTTGCAGTTTTCTTTGGTGATCCCTTGATATTAATATTTCCCTCCTATGTGCTATCTGAAAATCTAACAAATATGGAATTGTAGGCTTCACAATAATCCTACGAGATAGGTATTATTATCATTCTCATTTTATAGATTCAGAGACTGAGTCTCAAAGAGGTAAGTAATTTACTTGGCTACAGAAGACGCAGATAACAGGACAAGCATTTGAATTCATGTTTGTATTATTCTATAGCCTCTCTTAGCCATAAAATCATTTATCATGACCTTGAGCATATTACTTAGCCCCTCAGAAGCTCCATTTCTACATTTATAAAAATAAATGTTCAAAATGTGTATGTCTCTAAAATCTATCATTCTACAGTTAACGAGTAATGACTGGTGAGAACAAAAGGAAAGGTCACATGACTTCAATAATGGTTAAAATTTGTCCTATTGGTTTTCCAGCTTCATTGTTCATCACTCTTACTCTCCCATCCTCATGTTCCAGCCACATCTAGGTTCTGATAGTTCTTCCAGTTCCGAGCTCCAGGAGCCTACACAACCAGTGCCTTGCTGCTTCAGTAAATTTTGCTCCTTCTGCCTCTCTCCTCGATGCCACTGCCATCCCATACTCACGTGTCTTCCTGTCTTGTGTGCACATATGATTTGTTAGGGATGCACTAAAAGTCTTAGGTCAAAAAATCAATTTTTATATATATATAAAAATGAGAAATACTGAACTTATTTGTAGTTCAACTGAAAAGCAAGTAAGGGTTGGTTCACTATGGTGAAATAGGATCAATTACAACATGCTTTAATAGAGTCTGGGTGTTTCAGAAAAAGAAGGTGAATGTTCCACTCTGGACAGAACATACTGAAGAGGCTGGTGCTAAGTTATAAACACTGTAACTTAAAAAATGGAGATAAAATTAAATTATGTTGAGATAAGGCTGAAAAAATAGAGTTAGGATCTCAAAAACATTCAATACATATCCAGTTGGAAAAAATTTTAAAAATAATGGTACTAATATGGTGTGAGAAGTCAGAAGGGTGGTTATCTCTGGGAGGGCATTCGCTGGGAGGGAGTGTAAGGAAGCTGAAGGGGCTTGAAATGCTTTATGGTTTGATCTAGATGAACTCATGTAAAAAGTCATTAAGCTGCATACTTAATATGTCTTCTTTTTTGTATTTATGATAACTTTCAATACATTTGAAAATAATAATGCCAAGCATTTGGACAAGCATTCTGGGAAACCGGCGCCATCACATCTTGGTGGAATATGTAAACTGGAACAATTTTCTGGAGGGCACTTTAGCCATAGATACCAAGCACCTTAATCAGCTTCTTCGACAATGCTTTGCGAATGAGTATAGTGACTACAGTAACTCATTAATTCAAATTAATTGGGTGAAGAGTAAATGTAGGATATAACATGCTTGTAAAGTGCATTTATAGGGAATGAGATATGAGTATAATCCAGGACAGTCAGGAAATTCCAACAAAGCTCATGCAATCCTCTCTGTCATATTTTTTTAATTCACAAAGACTATTTTTTGGGGGTTATTTTTAGTCAGGGATAGCATGATAAGAAACAGTGGGTTCCCTGAAGTAGCTCAGTCTTTCTGTACCCACATTTGAATTCTTTCTTTATTAACAAACCTTATCCTTGCCCATGGAATAAAAGCAGTCTTTTGTTCCATTCAAATAATCCAGGATTCTAAACAATAAGAAACTCTTCCAAGGTCTTTGGATGTTCTTTTTTTTGGGGCGGGGGGTAACATAATTCTAAGTGAGGACCACAATTAAGGAACATTCAACCAGACAAGGATGCAAGGTGCCAAGCAGGTGTGGGGCATCTCTGATGCTCAGCTCTTACCGTCTGCAATGAAGTGCTCCGGCACATGCAGAGTCACCTTCACAGTGAGTGGACAGGACATCTGACTGCCACACACCATGGCCAGGATGCAGGAGCTCACAGCAATCAGAGTCAGGGCCGTCTTGTTCACTGGACTTTTCAGCAAACCTAGTAAAACAAACACCACACAAAGACGTATCAGTCACGTCAGAAATAGGAATAGCATGGAATCTGGGACTCCTGTTCCTTTTCCAAGCTGGAAAAAGAAACCGTATTTTCCAACCTCTGTGCCTGTGATGATATTTCAATGACCCCTTTTTGGGTCTTGGTTTAAAATCTCTGCAAAATCCCTTTTGGTTTAAATGAAAGAAACAAACTTTCTGAAAATTGTGGCATTTCTCCTCTCTCCCCTCTCAATTAGCCTGGTCGTTCTTGATAATAATTAAATGGTATTAAACTCTCTGCTCACTTTAGAAGCAGGTGAGAAGATACCATGTTGCTGAATTCATGGGGCCTAGGGAAATGAGCATGGGCTTTGCAGTCTGACAATCCCGAGTTCAAATTTGGGCTTCAGTCCTCATTAACTTATGACCTGTTTCATTCTCTGAGCCTCAGTCTTCTTATGTGTCTGATGAAGATAATAATAGACATCACTATTCTGATGATTACGTAGCATATGTATAAGGGTTTCACAGACTGTAGGAGGCTGATCAATTCAAATGAATTTCCCAAGCATGTACAGATGACCAACTATGTGAGACACACATGGAGCAGAATAAGAATAGTTTTTGCTGTTCAGGAATTTACAAGTTGGGGGGCAAAGACAGGTTTATTCATAGCTAATTAGAATCCAAGGCAAGTTGTGTTAAGAGAAAGTAGAGAGGACACAGGATGGGGAGGGGAGTTTTGCCAAAGAAAATTAAAGGCAATTTCACGGATGCAGCAGAATGAGTAGATTGGATCTGCATGGCAAAGAGAGTGCTGGACCAGCAAAGAAATTCTATGCACTGCATTCTGAGCCCCTACTGGGTTTCATTCTTTAGGCTTTGCTGTTCACATCTAATTTCAGGGCTTTGATTACCATTTTTAGAGCAATGCTTCCCAAATTTCTATTACCTACTATGCTCTTATTTTGAGCAAACCTTTATGTCCAAACCTTCTGCACATCTCTCTATGAAAAGCCCATGAGCCTGACAAAACAACATGTTCAAAAGCAGACACATTATCTTCTACTTATGGCCTCCTCCTCCTCTTTCTCCTGGGCTCCCCAAAGTACTGGAAGCACTGCCATTTGAACTGGCCAGAAACCTAGATGTATCTTTCAGCCTCCTGTCTTCCTCCTTTACAGCATCGAAACAGCGTGCAGTCCTAGGTGCTCCATGTCCTTAGCATTTTCACCTCTTTCTTTTCCCTCATCTCTTCTATCGTCTGTTTGCTTGTGAGATAAGGGAAGTGTGGGCACAGCTCATCTCACTTTGTGATGGAACCCCTTGAGCTGTTATCCAGCATCTGGCCGCAGGATGCCGTCCATGCTGATTAGCCTGGCATCTGAGGCCTTCGTGGTGGGTCCCTGTACTTAGACCTCCTGTTACTCTCTCCTACCCAGCCCAGGGGCTGGCAGGGCTGCATTACTACAGAGCTGCCACAGAAAGTGCCCTTTATCATGTTACTGTTAGCACAGGACTTATTTCTTTTGCATAGACATCCACTTGTTTCTTTGTCTCCCATCACTCACTGAGATTAATGGTATATGCAAATTCCTTTCTCTCTGGGAAGACAAATCGCCTGCATGCGTTGTCTTTCTTAAAATCTCATTCAGACACTAGAGTCTAGTAATTAAACAATAAACTCCTTGAGGGCAGGCATTGCATCTTTTGCCCAACATTGTATCCTGATGCCTAGCATAGCATCTGGCACATGTTAGCATCTCAGCAAATGCATCAGAACTTCCAGAAATGAGAATAACAATATTAGCAACCAGGCACAGGCACTGATCTATCAAAAAGCATGTCAACCACACACAACCAACATTGCCAGACTGGTGGATCCTAATGGGACAAGAGCCCATGACAGCCCACTTTGGGATTTTTTTTTGATAGATATCTATTTCTCTTAATAAACAGTGAGCTGCTTGAAGGAAGGGATCCCATCTTCACCATCTTTATGTCTCTCCTGCCAAGTTCACTGCCTGGAACCTAGAAATTGATTAAATTAAGAATAGGGGCTTTGTCTTTATTGCCACTCTTAGAACAAGGTATAGCATATGGCAGGAGCAATTCATATATCTGTGGTTGTTATCGTTGGTGAATATTAGTTAAATGGTAGAGCAGTTAAAATAAAAAGATGGCTCTGGTGTCAGGGGATGGAAAATCCCTAAACTTAAAATGACCACATAAAAAAAGGAACACATTTTCTCTCTCATCTGGGAGCCACAAGAAGCTATTTCAGACTCTGATAATATCAACAGTTTCAAAACTAAATGGCATAAGCAAGCTAATATCAATGTTTTCTACTAGAAGGGATATAGACGAGGGGTTGGTGCCTCGCATAGGTCTTTTCTTAAAAAATCAACACATTACTTTCAGCTTAGATCTTTAAAAATCCCCGCCCCCCTGCCCTGGTTAACAGTTGGCAGCAGTACCAAGTTTCCATTTCAGATTCTACAGAGGCTGTTCTGAGGGAAAGAATATGCAAAAATGAGTCCAGCACGAACAAACTCTTGGGAAGGTGAACTGGGTCTAGAGCATGAGATGTGAAAGGTAGAGGCACCTGGCAGTGGGGAGGTGGATGCCCTGGATGCGTGTGTCCAAGAAGTGCATCTCTCAGACTGGCCCATGCAGCAGCATGAAACGGATGTGACCAAGGCATTTCTTTCACCAATTAAGCAATCACCAGAAATACCACCCAGGCTCCACAGGGCTGAGTTCTGGTCGAGGGTTGAGGAGCAGGAATAGGAGTGCTCACACTAGCCCCCCGGGTTCGTGCTGGGCTAATTGCATCCCCTACATCACTTAAACCTTCACAGTAGCCCAGGGCCTTGAACAGTCAATGGGGTGGGCAGTAAAGTCATATCTGCTTTTTGACCCTTCATTTTCTCATCTGGAGAATAGGATTAAAATGATGTATCCTTCAAGAGTGTTGTTAAACGTTAATGAGACAACAAATGTCAAATGCCAAGCAGTTTCTGGTGCATGGTAGGCCCTTGGTAAATGGTCTTTTGCAAGCCAGATATTGGTATTTAACTCACAATTGATGGCAGAAACCAGGACGTATTTACCTCTTTGTCCAACACATTATCAGAACATACTAAGAATTGAATTATTCTTTACAGAAACTGAAGACACAAGGAGTGGATAGGGAGGGAGTGGAAGAGAGAATGCAAATAAACAGCATCCTGGGGGAGCCATTCACGCAGAAGATGCCTGAAACACCACTGCTGTCTCTGAAGTTCAGGAAAAAGAAAGCACACAGGTCAAGTCTGCACTCAGACCAGATGCCCATGGAGCAGCCACTAGGGCTTGGGGGTTTCCATGGCAACTGGATTTGGCAGAAAACTTCACAGTGGGACTCAAAGAGAGGTGACTTTTTAAGAGTTTCTGGCCTAGGGAACTGATCACGAGCAATAAGCTTGGATGAGGGGCTGTAGATAGTGGCAAGGTAGAAATTATCTATCCTATAATACCCAATCCCTCCTCCCCCAGGCTCCGTACTGCCTTGCAGGAAGCAGAGACAGGGAGGAGAACCTTCGTTTATTGGCTACTTAGTATGATATAGGCACCATGCCTAACATTTTCACTCATCCAATCATCTACCCAACAAACTTTTATTGATCATCAGTTCTTCCCCAACACTGTCCACACTGCTCTAGGCACAGGGAAAGGAATAGTTAACAAAACAGCCAATGTCCTTGAAGCTTACAGTTTAAAGGAGGAGAATTATTTCATTTAGTTCTTACAGCAAACTGCTACTATCTCTGTTTTGCACAGGAACAGAGGGACAAAGCAATAAAATGACTTGTCTAAGGTCACTCAATCTGTATGTGGCAGAGTCAGGATTAGAACTGGTTCTTTCCATTCTCTCCCCCATGTCATACTACCTTCCACTTCACCACAGAATAAGGGTCCAAGGATAGCAACATGTAACTGTGGAAAGACCATGGCCTTTGGAGCCAGACACGCCTATGCTCAAATTCTGGCTTGGCCACAAAATCTTGTGTGACACTTATCAATTCACCTAAGAAGACAAAATGTCTCCATCTGAAAAAATGGGAACGGTTGTCTTCTTTCACAGCTGATGTGAAGACAAAATAAGATAATGCATGTAATTGGTAAAAAAAACCCAAAACTCAATAAATGATAGTTCCAGATCATAATAAGAGCATCCGCCAATGGCCAGGGTCACAGTTATCCCTGGTTCACATCCCAGTTTGCAGTTCCCTCCCCATCACTTGTAAGGGAGTGAGCTGCGCTGTGGGAATGAAATTTCACCAGGGCATATCGATTGCTGGGACTGGAGAAAGTTAATAATCTAATTTTGCTTTCATTTCCCCTCCCTCTTACCCCCAACTCCTCTCATGGCAGCAGAGAATGGCATAAAATGCATTGCTTGAGAAATTCACCCGGAAATAACTCAGCATTGTTGATCCATGCGCTGCCTATAATTTGGGGTTTGATTGATTCTCAGTTTGGAAATGCCAGGTTGAGAGAGGAAAATCAAATTTAAGTTAAATTTGGAATTGAATCAATCACATTTTACAATGAAGAAAATAGATCTTACCCCATCAGACCACTGTGTATGGAAAACTTAAAGCTGCTATGCTCCCAATGATTCTTCCTCCTGGTATTCTCATGGGACAAGAGACTAGGTTGTAAACTGAGAAATCATTTCTTTCTTTAAATAGCATATGGAATTGAGGTGAGGGACAGGGATTCTAGGAACCCAGGACATTAGGGTGGAAGAGCCCAAGAGGAAGAAAGGGCACTTAGAACAAAAGAAAGCGGTTGGGTTTAGGTTCTGGACATAGAGATTTAAATCCAAACTCTTCCCTTTAGTAGCTTCTGACTTTTGGCAAGTTACATACACTCTCAGAGCCTCAGTGTTCTAATGTATAAAATGGAAATGATAACCCCTAACTGGTAGACACGCTGTGCGGATTAAATGAGATGACA